TTTGAGATTTTCTAGACTTTTTGAGTTTAATTTAATTTATAAGACTTGAAATTTTGAAGCTTTGTGCAAATTTAAAGCTCTACTAGTAGAGCTCTCATTGTTCTAGAGTCGAGATGTGCCTCCAGCAATTTTTGGGCTATGTTGCACAATTTCAAAAGTAAGTCTCTTATGTTATTTTGTAGACTTTACCTTTGTCATTATCAATAGAGCACTTAGGCCCGTAAAAACAAGATCCCTGGTACTCAAACTTATTTAACCTTTGGATTTACACGAGAAAATGGCTTCCAATAGGTCAATCTCTGTCAATCGGTGACATCATCTCAACATGCTTCGTCAAAACTCTTACAACATTGACGGAGATTCAATATTTTATAATAAAAATTGCATTAAACAACACGTGGCATCGACTACCTACTTTTTAAACAAACTTTACTCCACAATAACTTTTGCATTGACTTTTGACTTTCAGCATCAACTGATGAAGTTGTAAAATCATCTGTCCTTGTGCTTTATGTTACTTGCTGGTCATCGTATTCTTTGGATGATTGATTAAGGAAATGAAATAGATTTTATTTTGTCTCTGAATATTTGTAAAGGATAAAATCAGCAAATAATGTATGTTCAATGTTATTTTAGGTATTGACTTAACCTTCAGCTTGATAATTTGTCATTTCCATTAACTTTGATCAATATTGTTTCAGTTAGATTGAATAGGAAGATAATGAATTCTAAGAAAATCCTCTTTTAAGGAAAAACAAAGGAAGTAAATGAAGCTGCAGTACTGATTATTTATCGACTATTGAGGAATAACTAAGTATCGATACACATTTAATAAACAAAGATTTTATGCATCGTAATTAGAATTATTTAAATGTCATTGCTTCAAATTTATGAAAATGCACGATTTATCATTAGTTGTTGCTTCTGTCTGCTCAATTCATATATGAACTGTAAGTTTCGTAAAGCTGGAATAAATAGTGCGGATAAAATGGAGTTAATTAACGAAAACAAATGACTGAAAAGTTCAATGATCTAACAATTTTAATTGCTACAAAGTTTTCATAATGAAAATAATTTAAATTAATAAATCAGAAGTCATAAAGTTCAACAAAGTAGAGTGAATGCTCATTTATTTAATGTAAGAAGGGGTTTAATGATGCAATAACCTTTTAATAACTTGACGAGCTTTTTTAAATCTCAATTTACATAAATGAGGTAAGGTATTCACTCTTGACCTGAGGAACTCTTGAATCTGATGATTATTTATGTTCTGCAATGTATCAAGTATTATTCTAGGTAGTGGAGTAGCTAGAGATAGGGTTGGTTCCACTTGTGTGAAGCGAAAGACAGTTTGAGAACCACTGCATTGAAGACAACTTAATACTCAGTAATTTACTATCAAAATTGACAACTCAATAAGATCCTTCTACTTCCAATTAAAAAGCAACAAGCCATAAAACCACAACATACACAATTTTTTTAAAAAATCAATTCAAATGTTCAGATTCAACAAAAAAAGTCATCAATCGAACATTAATTTCAAGTCAATATCAATAACAGTATGGCAATGTTAACATTTCTGGTCATTTAACATTTAATGGGACGACTTTCGGATGTAGTCAGTTTGGACATAAAAATTGAATATTATTGAACCTGATAGAATACATTAAGAACTTTTAAATTGAGGGTTGATGTTTTTTCATGGTTTCTTTACTTTTATGGATTTTAATCCTTTAAATTTGCTTTGTTGGTTATTTTTATTAGGTACAAAGACTCGAACGTTTTGAGTTCGCAATAATTTCAGCTATTTAAATATTATTGAATGTTAAATTCATATGAATAAAGCTAAATCCATCATAAAATTAAATTAAACTAATATCATTCTTAAGGATCATCAATGCTAAACAAAATTCAATTTAAAAGCAATTCACGCTGTTCCATGACCTTGTCAATTTTCCAAGAAAATAACCAAAAATTCCATTAAAGGATATTTCTCATTTCAATGACAATAATGATGGTAATATCTTCAGTGTTAATATGAATCAAATGACATTCTCAGAAAATAAGTTCATCTCTGAGCGCTTCTTATTTCAGATCATGTTGAGATTTACTTGGCAAGATATTTCAAGTTTGAAAAATCATAAATTATTCTTTAAAATTGCGTTTAAAGCTGCAAAGCATTTAAGATTCAAAGAATCTATTATTCAAAAGAATCGAACTAATGTCCTTTCAAAAATGAAAAAATTCTGTTTCTAGTCTGTTGCCTAATCACTAAGCTACAGCTTCAACTGACAGAATCGTCTTAATAAAGCTCAACAAACCAGATTCCAAAAGAACAAAGCTCAAATCAATTCTTAAATGCCAATCCTCACAAAATAAGAACCCAAAGTGCTTCCTCATTTATAAAATTTCTTAGCTCCTTTTTTTAATAAAAATAATCTCCTTTTTGGTATGAATTGTGATACTGACCACCCGGAAATTTAATATAACACATCATGAATGTCCTTAAAGATTCACATTTGGTATCATCTTTCTATGACACATTCAATAAAAAGGATAAATGAAAATAATGTGAATATAATAAAAGGGTGAATAAATGAAGCATTAATTGTAAAATAGAATTTTCTTGTGTGTAAAAAAGGGATTTTCGGATTTCTTCTTGTTTTTGTGCTGTTTGAAGTTGAAAGATTTTTCTTTGTTTTTGAGGATTTGGAGCACTCTTGACTTAATACTTTAGTTTTGTTCAAAAGAATTATGAATTAGGTGCTGAAATATTCAACAAAAAATTCTGATGATTGTAACGAGCACTGATTAGTGGTTTGTCCATTTTGACGTAACTAGAGGAGTCCGGAAGAGTTTAAAATTTTTATGAAATATACCTTTGCAGCCACATTAAAAGGTTTGACTTCCCCTTAGAAAAATCATGCTAATCTCCAATCTTTCAATGCCAAACTTTAAATTCTTAAATCAATATCAAACTTATTACAGCTGAATTCTCAATTACCACGATTATCTAACTTATCAAAGTGCCCTAAAATACCTCAATAAATGTTTTTGTGTGTCTATTTTATTATTAAATAGCTTAATGAGTTACAATCTGCTTCTTATGCAATAAATTATCTTAAATATAATTACCTGATAAGAAAACAAATTGATAAGCATTAGGAAGTTTGAAAAAAATATTCTAGAAGTGTCAATTTTAGCTCAATCATTCTTCATAATCTTTGGCAAGAAAAACAACTCTTCAAAATAGTTTAAAAATAATTTGACTTATATTGATAAGAAATCATATCTGCCGATAAAGTCTAATACTATTGATATGGATGAATTTCATGAAATTTCTTAAATATTTCTAAGTATTTTATTCTTGTGAAGTTATGAAGAGAAAAAGAAGCTTAACAAAATTGTAATCTCATTTTCTCAATCCTTTGCCTTTAAAGAATCACGAATTGAGTGCATGATTAATGATGATAAAATAATTATTAGTTTGTACTTAAAAAATTCGATTCTAATCAAATTGTTTCGTCATCAAAAGCTATTCGGATTTTCCAATTTACGATTCTTTGAATTTGCTTGATTGAAGCTTCCCCATATTGGCACTGCTCCAGAATTCAAAATCAATCGCCATTTTCTTACTAGGTTCAGATAGGGAATGAGGTTAAAGAGTTTTTAACAAAAGGATTTGTACTAAGATTAGCATTGGTACTTAGAGTAACTCGGATAAGAGATTCGTGTTTTGTCCTTTTCAAAAGCCAAACCCAAAAGCCACAACTAATCATAAATTAAGAAATCAAGCTTAAAATTGTACAAGAAAATTAAACCAAGCCCTAGAAAGCTATTGAAAATGATTATCACCTTATTGAATGATTCAACCATGACTTTGAAAAATTCACAACGTCAAAAAGAAAACTGATTTCTTTTTTGTAAAAAATTCCCAATAAATTGCAAGATAGTCATTGCATGATAAGGGTCTGGATATGTAACTACTACGCTACATTGCAATCAATTTCATATTTTATTCTTAATTTTCTTGATTTTTAGAAACCTTCAATGAACAATAAATAGTTGATTTACATCCTACGGTGCCATTCTCACTCCCAATCAAAGTTATATCATGAACCACAATCCCTCTCAAAAGAAAGGCGCTATAATTGAACAACTATTGGCACTAAATTAGTCCCCAAAACTTTCATTCCATACCAGTATCAAGGTAATCTCCATTATCACATAATCAACTTCATAATAATCCACGATTATCCACAGATCACTCATAATCAACGTAAATTTCTCAAAATCATCAAGTTGCGCACCCCATTACACGCAATTAAAGATAATCAAACTTCCATATATGGAATATCCATGAGTGGATGAAACACGGTCTTTCAACCACTAATAAACTCGTGCATTATCAATTCCGCGATAAGGAACAAAAAAATAAAAACATTGAGAGAATTTTCATTAATTTCTCCTTGTTTTACTCACAATATCTGCTTATCATCAACTGATAAAGCGATAAAAACCTCAATACATCCAAAAAGAGCATTTTTATGCCAATTAGACTTCTATAAAATTAAAAACATTTTCCTCATTCCTCTCAGTCATTGTTGGTGAGTGCTCGCGAGTTTAAGAATAAAAAGTGCCAAGGAGTGAAGAAAAAGGGACGATAAGAAAATTAAAAAAAAAATATCCAGAAGTGCTTTGTGTCTGTTATCAGCGATAAGAAGCAAAAAAACAAATCGATTAATTATCCCCTTAAGACGAGCATTAAAGTGATCGACAACTTTGAATGTTTGTGAAATTCTTTGAGTAATTAGAAGAAAAGAAATATAAAGTCAAAGTAATGCTCATTTGTACTTTCCATTAAAGTTATTTCATAATAAGACGCAGCGAAAAATTCAATGCAAAGTGAAGTGAAGACATTGATTACATAAGGCAATCAATTAAGTTTAATCAATTTGTGATAACAGCAAATAAAGTAGATAACATTTAAGACTGCAAATATGTTTGAAGGATTTTGTCCGGACGGGCTGTGGGTAAGTTGAATTAAGAAGATTGAAATTGGAAAGGTTTAATGGTGCTTGAAGGTTATTGAGGTCTATAGAAGATCCAGGGTTGAAGGCAAAATTTTAAATCAATAAAAAAAGTTTGCGAACTATTTTGCAAGGAAGTGGGAGCAATCCTATATCTCAGCTCGTAAATATGACACTTTTTTACATTTATTTTCATGTAATTTGGTTTGAGCACTTACTTACTTCCTTGTTATGATGGCAATACAGGTGAAATGTGGTTCATGCTAGCTTTCTGTCATTGGTGCCTGAGACTTGCTCTTTTGCTGGACGTCACTTGCTATTTCTCAATGCCAAATCCAGCCCAATCCCTACCCTTTGCTGACTAGACTTTAACCATCCCAAACGAACACACAATCTAGTCACAACAGAACCACAAAAATAAAATTTCTCACGAATAACAATCCTCTTGGGCACCATCCAAGTAAAATAATCCATTAGTCATCAGAATCCTTCCAAAAAAAATAAATCATAAATGCAAGTTTCATTCGATGATAAACAGAATAATTAGAATTATTCAGCTACTTTATATTATTTGTTTGCACACCAGCCAAGATAATGATGGACATAAAACAAAAACTACAATTCTCGTGCGAGCAATCATCATTACATCTACAAAATAATAAGAATGAAAAGCAAGACTGGCGCTTGCCATTGTTATCAGACGAAATTCAGCATGAGTAAATTTTTTTTTCATTTTAATTGCACTTTATTGCATTTATTGACGACATACTGTCCGGTAATAATTCAAATTTTACACTTTTGTATTTGTATACATATGAATTAATATTATGTAGGATCAAACTTCTAATCTTCAAATCTAGGTTTCAAATAAACTAAGGCTCTCGTTTCGATCTTCTGTAGGCGTGACGTAATACTTTTCAGGTCCGTTCTAACAATATTCCATTCGTGGGTAATCTTGTAGCTCTCGTTCCTATTTCTCCCGCTACACTTCGATTTCCTGACCCGTTCCTTAATCCAACGTTGCCCAAATGCCTAATTATTGCTTGATCTCGTACATTAAGCAGTCGAAGTATCTAAACTTCTGAAAAAGAACAAATTTGGAAATGGCTGGATTCGAACCGACGACCTTCGAGTTGCCATCCCAAATTTGAGCCAAGCGCCTTACCTATTCGACCAGCAAGGCACTTAACTACTTCTTGTCAATCTTGGTTAATGATTATTGGATTGACACTAATTAATACAGTAACGAGATAGATATTAATAAGAAGTTCCGATCTGTGTCAATTTAGGTGTGATTTAGCAGTGATTGTTTTTTGGGAAGCTATTGAGGCAAATTAAAAACAAAAAATTTCCTTTGTGTTTTACATTCGACACTTTCTGTGCAAGCTTCACAGCTATAATTAAATTGCACTGTCCAAAAAGACAAAGACTGCAATTAACAATTAATAATCGGCTCATAAATTCATTAAATTTATGCAACAATAAGTCAATAACTATCTCGATTCTTATCAGCAATTATTAATTCCAAACAATCCTAATTTGGTCATTAAACACGTCAATATCTCGAAGCGACTCATAACAATGCAAAATAATTAGTTCCAGGTGCTATTAAGGGGTCTAGAATTATCCGTTTTAAGGATAAACCTAGAACTATTTAATGGTGGAGCCCCTTGTTCATAACCAAAGCTTATCTTCTGATTAGATGCCCCTAAACCCTCCTAGATACTCCTTACACCTCCAACTCACAAAACATTCTCGAATCACCTGTTTTTTGCATCAATGAAAATATTATCAGCATGAATTGTGTTCATTCGCATTAATCTTAATTTGTTGTTATCATCAAAAATATCACTGAACTATACGTACTTCTATTATTTCAATTTTTTTTTTATATTTTTGAGTGTATGACAATGCCCTGATAATAACTTTTTACGTTGCGATAAAAAACTTCCATAACGGGCGAACATATGAATGAACAGAATCATTTTGTTTGTGTTGGATGTGATGTCAAATGAGATTGGGTGGAAAAATGACTTTTGGTGCTATTTTAAAAATGAAACTTTAAAGATTTTTTTAAAAAAGTAGTGTATTTTATGATTTTATTAGAAAAAAAGGTTTGTTAAGTAAAAATTGAAATGTTCAAAAATTTAAAAATTTAAAAATTCGAAAAGTTCAAAAATTTAAAAGTTCAAAAAGTCAAAAATCAAAAAATTCAAAAAATTCAAAAATTTCAAAAATTTAAAAAATTCAAAAATCTAAAATTCCAAAAGTTCAAAAAAAATCCAAAAGTTCAAAGTCCAAATTTTATTAATTCAGATTTTTTGTTTTAAATTTCAAGTTTACATCAAAAATTCAAAAAATATCTTATTCTTCCAAAAATTCATTTTTTAGTTCGCCTTAAATTTTTCAATTCCACTCTCAACATTCAGAATTTTTATTATATCTTGGCTTCTCGCCAGCATAAAAGCTGTCACATTTTATTCTATTGCAATTTGTATGAAGATTGAAAATGAAAGAGCAAAAAATTCCTCACATTTTGTAGAAATCTGAATGTCTTGATTTGATAGAACATTCAAGAAATTGCTAATGAAAAGATTTGTTATCGCCACTGCTCATGATGTGTCGAAAATATTCAATTATTCTTGACTTTTTAAGAGAAAATAACATTTTTTGTTTTTATATTATTGAAGTTTAATTTATTTGATGAATTTTGCGTCAATTCGTTTTTAATTTGATTTTATATAGTTTAATTAAATTTCAAATTAAATGCTTTGTTATAAAAATGATCAAAAATTTAAATTGTCAATCAAACTTTAAATTAATAAAATTTACAAAATGTTGTGAAATTGATTTAAATTCAATTGAAAACTTTTTTCAATTACAAAGTCAAATTTTATAGTTTTTAATGAGTTTCATTATTGAAATTTTAGAATGCAGACTGATACACAATGTAATATTGTTTCAATTAAAATTTTCAATAGCAGAAAATAGCATAATAAGCTGTTTAAAATGAATAAGTCTGGATTAGAAGCTATTTTGCCAAAAATTCTCAGATCTAAGTTGATTAAAAGATTTAAATTGATTTAAATTTAAAAACAGACAAATCAAGCACAATCAAGACATTAATTAGACTCATTCCACTCTTAATTTATTATTTTATTACAGCACACAAGATTAAGTCAATGCTTGTTGAAAAACCTTATCGCATTCTTCAGTTAATTATAAATAAAACTAGAACTTATAAAAGTATCAAACTAAATTCGAAAATCATTTTTTTCTCTTTCAGGACAATGACCAGCTATGGCTTGAAACTGGTCCCCGATTTACAGACTGCTTCATGAACATTGGATTCATTTGGGGTCCATGTATCTTCCTAGCATTCTTCTCCCTATTCGATGTTTATTTCCGTAGCAGAAGTCGATACAGTGATATACCATGGAGCTTCCTTAATCTCTCGAAAATGTTGTTGGTCATCCTCCTCATCGCATTGTCAATCACTGATTTATATGTTATGCTCACTACAACAGCAGTGACGATTTATAATGTTCAGATTGTGTCGGTGTCATTGAAGATTGCAACTTTTGTAAGTAAAATTGAAAATACTTAAACAAGTAAAATTCTAACCTCAAAAATATCCACAGATCCTTGTTCTACTCCTTCAGTTCTACCACAAACTCAAAGGACATCGAACATCAGGTCTTTTGTTCAACTTCTGGATCATTCTTATGGTCGCTTCCATACCACAATTAATCTTGGAAATCAATTACGATGCAAACACAGCAAATGAATGGGAACAATTTCAATATGTCAATTTCATAATCTACTTCACGCTTATCACAGTTATGCTGTTTCTTAATTGTTTTGCTGATAAGGCACCACGTAGCACGACCTACCACAAGTTTGATAATCCAAGTCCAGAATTAAGTTCAAGTTTTGTGCGACAACTCTTCTTCCAATGGTTCGATAAGATTTGTTTGATTGGATGGCGTCGGACACTTACAGAAAAGGATATGTATGACATAAATCCGATGGATACAAGTCATGAGATTGTACCTGTGTTTGATAAGCATTTTGATGCAAGTGTTGAGAAAGGTCGAAGGTAAGTGATTGTGATGATGGTTTGGATTTACAAGAGTTTACAGAGTTGAAGGTTGACTACTGTTAGTGTTAGGCATCTAAAGTAGAGCTTGAAGTCTACTTAGATTTAGTGGGTATATAAGAATTCGGGTAGACTATAGGATCAGATGAATTTGGCGGGAAATCACTTTCGTGATCTATGTGTTTTTGTTGCCAGTGCTTCTCAAACTGTGTCCCGCGACACACTGGTGTTCGGTGGTGTCCAAAGGTCTAGCCCTAATTCTCAAAATGGTTAATGTTGCGCCAGAAGCAAAAAAAGTTTGAGAAACACTGGCCTAAAACCTAACCCTTAAAGTAATCCTACTTATTGAAAACCTTTCACTGCTAGATCTCCAACTCTGTCATAAAAGGATAAAGGGATGGATTTGGCTCATCTTTACATCAATAACTTATCTCTTGTATTGTTAACATAACGTGAATCCCTCAAAGCTTTTAAATATGTACAATTTATGAAATAGTAATCGCAACCTTCATAAAACATCCCTTGAGCTTTATACTTAAGCTTGTAATATATTATCTTTATCCCCAAAAAATCTTTATAGAAAGCAACAAAAAAAATCAGGCAATAAATCAAATATCCCTAATGTTGAGACGTCAAAGCAGACAGACGGTTCAATTTTACCAGCCATGATGAAAACATTCGGTGGTCCATTTTGGTTTGCTGGCTTCATCCAACTCATCATCAATGGTTTGACATTAGCAAGTCCAATGTTATTAAATGAATTGATCACTTTTGTGGCTATGGGAATGCCAGTAGCATGGCAAGGATGGTTAATGGTTGTTTCATTGTTCCTTGTTGCCTTCCTACTCGCCATTTTTAATAGCGTCTATTTTAAAGCAACATTTGTCGTCGGTTTCCGTATTCGTACAGCCTTAATTAGTGCCATTTATCGAAAAGCACTGAGGATATCCAGTGCAGCCAAAAAAGACACAACTGTTGGTGAAATTGTAAATTTAATGTCCGTAGATGCACAAAGATTCTTTGAATTGATCTCATACGTACATGTGTTGTGGTCAGGACCGATGATAATTGGAATTGCAATTTATTTGATTTGGCAACAATTGTCATTTGGTGTTATATCCGGTATTCTTATTATGATTTTGATCACGCCACTGAGTGGAATTATTGCTGCTAAATTGCGTAACTTGCAAGTCGAACAGATGAAAATTAAGGACGAGCGTGTAAAATCAATGAATGAGATTCTTAATGGCATGAAGGTATTGAAGCTGTATGCATGGGAGCCAAGTTTTGAAAAACTTATTCAAGAGATTCGAGAACGTGAACTTGTCGTTATGAGAAAAGGAGCAATTTTAAATGCTGGAACTTATTTTGTATGGACATTGGCACCATTCCTTGTACAACTTGCCTCATACATCACCTTCGTTTTACTTGGAGGCACTCTTACTGCCAACAAAGCTTTCGTATCGGCTGCATTATTTAATATCCTGAGATTCCCAATGGCTATGTGTAAGTAATACTATGCTTATTGTATTGAATGGCATTGTGTGGCTATTTATGCTGAATTAAATATATTGTATCAATTATCATATAGAATGTTATTGGAATAGGGATTATATGTTTGGATCAGATTGTGTATTATTTGACATTAAGCAGCTAGTGCAAAATAGCAAGATTATGAATTTTAAAACTGTAACGGCTTTTTCAATTTTAAATATTATTGCATAAAATTGGCTGCAGAAATTTGAATTTTTAAAAAACGGTAAAATTTTGAACTGAACATTTTGCTTTAAGATTAATTTTTTAAAGCTGTCAAGTTTTAATGACTTTCAGTCACAATCCCATGTCCATAAGAACTCATTCACATAAATCTAATCATTTCTTCTATCTTTCTATCCATTCAGTCCCCATGATGATTGCAAATATGGCACAAGCATGGGTCAGTGTGAAACGTATCAACAAATTCCTCAACGCAGAAGAGCTTGACTCAAGCAACGTTGCAAACGAACCAAGTGAAAATGCATTGAGCATCACTAATGGCACATTTACATGGGGAGGTGAGACTACAACATTGAAAAATATCAATTTGAAAGTGAGGAAAGGAAATTTGACGGCAATTGTCGGTTCAGTCGGATGTGGTAAAACATCACTGGTGTGTGCATTGCTCGGTGAAATGGAAAAATTGAGCGGAGATGTAAATGTAGATGGACGTATTGCATATGTTTCACAGCAAGCATGGATACAGAATGCAACATTACAGGATAACATAATATTTGGACGTCCATTTAAAAAAGAATTTTACAATCAAGTAATTCAAGCATGTGCATTGGGTGCAGATCTAGCAATGTTACCCGGTGGCGATCAGACTGAAATTGGCGAAAAGGGTATTAATTTATCAGGAGGTCAAAAGCAACGTGTATCCCTGGCTCGTGCAGTTTATAGCCAAGCAGACATTTATCTACTCGATGATCCGTTGTCAGCCGTCGACTCACATGTCGGAAAACACATTTTCGATAATCTAATTGGTGAAAATGGTCTTCTAGCTGGAAAGACTCGATTGCTTGTTACACATGCTGTCCTATATTTACCAAAAGTCGATGAAATTTATGTTATTGTTAATGGTGAAATTACAGAGAGCGGCTCATACAAGTGAGTAAATATTTGAGTAATTCATATCATGTATGCAAATATCGATAGTTGTGGCAACATATTGCACAAATTGGTAGTGACATTGGCGAGAGGAAAATATTTTGGAGCCATTTGTTAGAATAGATGATGTTATGATGTTAATTTGTGGATGTGTGATTAGATTTGATATTAAGGAAGGGGATTGGAGCTTGTTTTTAGGGTATATAATCAAAAAGTTGCAGATCATCAAGTGATATTATTAAAATAGAGTAGGTTTATATGCTATATGACAGTAGCTTCATAAGTGCCATATGATAAGGTTTATAGGTTTCATGAGACTAGGTTTACAGGTTCCTTAGTGATCGATGTGTAGGATTAAGGCTAGGAGTATTTATTTAATAGAATTATGGTTTTGGATAGCACCTAAGTTGGTCAATGGCTATGATATAGTAAAGTTCATATGCAGGCTCTCATTTGAGTTCCTAGCTCCCTTATTGGTCTTCTACATACACATTTTATAGTCCAAATTAGGTTGAATTTTTCCACAAAATTCACAACATTTTATCCTCTCAAAAAATGTCATTTCCTTTATTTTTTCTATGTCCATGCTATTCTTACCATTATTCCGATTATAGCCAAAGTCATCGTTATTATCATAGTGATTCAATAAATTTTCACATTAATGCTCCTTTTTCTATCGTTTTAGAGAGCTTCTGTCGCAGAAAGGAGCATTTTCAGAATTCCTTACCCAACACATTCAAGACATTGAGGATGATGAAGGTAAATTTATACTTTAATCCAATTTTCAGCTTATTTTATTGACAAAATTGTCTTCTTTATTTAGAATTAAAGGAACTGCAAAAGGCAATTCAGGATGACGACTTAAAACTTGTTCTTCAGCGTCAACATTCATCGCTGTCAACTAGTGCGGAACAATCGTAAGTCTTAGACCTCATTAATTAGATTATTGTGTTAAAAAAAATCTCAATTTCCAGCTCATTGAATGGATCAATGAGAAAGCGTAGATTAAGTCAACGACGTGCATCGGATAAGAGTGAAAAGGAAGCACCAATTGTAAAACCAAACACAAAGTTGACAGAGATAGAAGACGCTGGAAGTGGTGCTGTTGGATTTAGTGTCTACATTCGATACTTCCAAAGCATTGGACTGGCATTGACTGTTGCTGCTATTTCTAGTAATATCATCAACTCTGGAACATCGATTTATTCGAGCAGTAAGTTGCGTGGGAATCGAACTCACAAGAAGGTTTCAGATATGCTGTCTATTGCATAACCAATCGACCATGGTGGGCTTAGTCTTGGACAGGCAGATTCGTCTGCATAAGACTCGAAACCCCAGTGTCATTCGACCGTTATTATTCAGTTCCATTCCTTTGGCTTTCCTTGACTAAGCATCACTAAACCTACATGATCTAGTTCCACTTCTCTAATCCTACCTTCCTCTAATTTTTTTCCAGTCTGGCTTGAATCCTGGACAACAGACACACGTGTTCTATATCCACCTGTTAACATGTGGTGGCGAAACTTCTACATGATTATTTATGCTGTACTTGGAGTCTCACAAAGTAAGCAAAACTTTTAATTCCATACTTTTTCAAAACGATTCATGCTTTACATCTGATTACATAGCTGTTGCACTTCTCATCACATCTATGGTGTTTGCTATTGGATGCTTGCGAGCTGCACGAGATCTTCATAATAAACTATTGGGCAACGTGCTACGACTTCCAATGTCTTTCTATGATACGACTCCGTTGGGTAGAATTTTAAATCGCTTCAGTAAGGATATGGACACCATTGATGTTATTTTACCTATGGTGAGGATGAACTATGATTGATAATTTGAAGCTTTATTAATGCATGATTATTTTCATTTCAGATTTTCCGGTAAGGAAGCTCATCGCTGGTCATCTTAGATTACATGAATTAATTGAAATTTCTATAATTTTTCAGATTCTGGATGGTCATGTTCTTCGCAGTTCTTTCTGTATTCGTAGTCATTTCATACTCTACAGTTGCATTTTTGGGTGTAGCTATTCCAATGTTGGTCATTTATTATTTCGTACAGAGATTCTATGTTGCCACATCACGTCAATTAAAGCGTATTGAGTCAGTTACTCGATCACCAATTTATGTGCATTTCAGTGAGACTATTACTGGACAGTCTGTCATTCGTGCTTGGGGTGAAGAGCAGAGGTGAGTACGAGGAGGTTAAGGTTGAGATAGGCGATCTACGTATGGTCAATAAAATAAGGGGAAAACAACTTGGCGAGGAAAAAATTCGAGGGAAATAATATAATGGAAAATTCCCAAGTGCTAAGAAATTTGTTTGAGTTTTTATTGTAAAAAATTCCCCATCATGTTGTTATCCCCTTGGAAAAATTTTTGAAACAAGCTGTTATCCTCTTGCACTAAGCCATTTGCTTGCTAATTCACCATCTCCTTTCGCAATTTTAACTTATAACTAAGCTAATCTCATCATATTCCTATCATTCCTTGCGAATAGATTCATCACGGAATCAGAAAGAAGAGTCGACTACAACCAAATGATGTCATATCCAAGTATCATAGCAAACCGTTGGCTTGCCGTCAGATTAGAAATTCTCGGTGCTATCATCGTCTTCTTTGCAGCATTCTTTGCTATCATTTTTGATATCGGACCGAGTACGGTTGGTCTTTCAATCAGTTATGCCCTACAAGTTTCAAGCACATTGAACATGTTATGTCGCATGACAACAGAACTTGAGACAAATATTGTTGCGATTGAAAGAGTTGACGAGTATTCGGATGTGAAGCAAGAAGCACCATGGAAAACTATTGAAGTTGTAAGTTGATGTTAAAAATTAATTGAGAATCTTGAAAATCAATTTTTTTTTTCTATCCACAAATAAAGGATAAAGCATGGCCACAAAATGGAATTGTTGAATTCAAAGATTTCCAAGTGCGTTATCGAGAAGGACTTGAACTTGTTCTTAAAGGAATTTCATTCATGGTTAAGACACAAGAGAAAATTGGTATTGTCGGTCGTACGGGTGCTGGAAAGAGCAGTCTTACATTATCCTTGTTCAGAATCATTGAAGCAGCTGGCGGAAAAATTGTTATCGATGGTATTGATATATCCACAATTGGATTGCACTCGTTGCGCTCAAGGCTAACAATCATACCACAAGATCCGGTATTGTTCAGTGGATCATTGAGAATGAATATTGATCCATTCAATTCATACTCAGATGATGCAATATGGACTGCATTAGAACATTCCCATTTGAAGACATTTGTGAAAGGATTAAATGATGGTTTAGAGTACAAGATTGCCGAAGGTGGTGAGAACTTGTCAGTTGGTCAAAGACAACTATTGTGTCTTGCTCGTGCATTGTTACGTAAGACAAAAGTACTTATACTCGATGAGGCAACGGCTGCTATTGATATTGAGACAGACGAGCTCATTCAGGTATGAATAGAAACTTGCTACAGGAAAATTCAATAAAATAAAACATTCTTTTTTTTAAATTCAATTACCAGAAAACCATTCGAACACAATTCAAGGACTGCACTATCCTAACCATTGCACATCGTCTTAACACAATTATGGATTCAGACAGAATAATCGTATTAGATGCGGGTATTATAGCTGAATTTGATACAGTTGATGCTCTGATGTCCAATAAAGATTCAGTTTTTTATGGCATGGCTAAAAATGCTGGACTTGTTAACAATCCTGTTAATGAAATGACAATTGAGGAAGCCATTGATGAAGCATTCCGCTTGGATGATGAGGATGACAATCCAAAAAATAATTCAAATTTAAATACTTATTTGTAGGGATTGTAGGATGGGCATTTGAAGATGCATGAATGATATTTTATGGAATAAAAGATTTTTTTAAAAATATGAAAATTTAATATATGCCTGTTAATGGGAGGAGGGGGGGGGAGTTCAATTTTAATTGAATTTTGTGATGAAATTTCTTCAACTCTCCTTGAAACTTTTAGTTTAAAAAACAATTGTGACTTAACGAAAAATTCCATTAAGAAATGTGAATAAATATTTGTCATCCACGTGAAAACAAGGTGGTCTAATTAACATACAGCTGTTAATACTTTAAAAATGTGATAAAAACAGTTGTGACGAAACAGAAGTGATGCTTGAAATGAGTTTAAATTGCGTCAATATTTCATTAATGTTTGAAAAAATATTAAAAATGATCAAATTTAAAGAAAAATACTTAAAAAATTACAAAAATAATTCTAGAGTCTAACAACATCCTCAGACAAACTCTTTAAAAATTTCAAAAGCTTTAAAAGAAATTCCAGCAGAACCCCTCAAAAGTTCCAACTCAAAACATTTAAACCGTTCCCAAAAAAAATTCCAGAGCTTCCAAACGTCATTCTCTCACACATTTCTCTCCATATCTACTTAAATCGCTGATTACACTCAAGTAAAAACAACAGAAAAATGCACATTCTCACACAACCAAAAGACCCGAAGATGACACGACACACAACGCAACGTGAGAGAGCCGCTTCGCCAAAAAAAAATAAAATAAAGTCAGTAACAACAACATAGAAAAAAAAAACTTCAAAACAAAACAAAAATCGCAAAACGTAAAGGAATTTTTGTTAGTAAGAATCGAAGTATCGCGCTGGCAAGAAGTGTCGTGCATTTATTTTTTTCCGTTCTGTTATCACTTAATGTATGTAACAATTGCAATAAGAAAAGGAAAATAATAATAATAAAAATTTACAACTTTGTTTTTACTTTTTTTTAACATCAAAAAAAATTATAAATTTATGAAGAATAAGAAGTGGATATGGATAGGTGTTGTGCATACTTAAAAAATAAATAATTAATTAAAGTGAGAAAAAAATAATAATAATAAAAATAATGAAGATAATAACAAAGTTTTATCAGTGTAAAAAAATATTTATAAAGTAGTTGTCTCCTTGATAAAGTACACATTATTAAAGTAAAATTGATAATGGAGTGTTAATTACTGGCGGTTGACTTCATCAACATAAAGATATTAATATAAAAAAAAAAATAAAATATTTTACACACGACAACAACGTGGAAAGAATTTTTCTTTGTAAGTCATTTCTCAATTTTTTTTTTTATTTATTTTGTAACTTCATTTTGAGAGGTGGAGCTAGGAGGAGCCCTTAAAACCCTTTCTTTACCCCGTTTAAGAGTAAGTATCTTAGTCGACTAAGGTTAACTAGCTTTGGAAAGGTTTCATTAGCTTTGACTAGGTTTGGCTAAGTTGACTAGTTTTCATTAGCTTTGACTAAGTTTTACTAGCTTTGACTAGGTTTCATTAGCTTCGACTAGGTTTGACTAGTTTTCATTAGCTTTGACTAAGTTGACTAAGATGCATAGTTTGATTAGTTTCAACTTAATTTACTCAAACTTCATACAAAATCTCCCAACTTCTCTCCCTAGCTCCACCCCAGCATCATCATCTTCTCTTCTTATCATATGAGCAATTGCACAATTGAGAGTATTCAATGAGAAAATAAAAAAAAAAAAATAAAACATATGTTTCGGTAATTCCTGATAAATGTTGACTTATCAACCTGCAACATTAAATGTGATAAGACAGTCAGCAATGACGAAATCGTAATTATCAAAAACAAACTTGAATTATGAAGGAATTTTTAATTTTTCCTCGATTCACATTTTTATTGAATGAGTATTAAGTGACAATGAGGAATGTTGATGGTGTTGATGGCGCATGTTTTTGACTTTTTTATTTTTCCATGCCGCATGTTTTGTTTATTTCTTTTTTTTTCATTCTTGAAAGTTTATGAAATATTTACAAAGTGGTGATCCATTCAGTTTTTTTGGAAGTTTAACAAGCAATAAAAAAAATGATTGACATTTATCGGAAAAAATTTTCCACGTGGATTTCTTGAGTTTTTCTTGGAATTTTCCATTGTCTTATGTCAAGCACATTATCTTTCCGAAAATAAGAATTCTTTAAATTATTGACAGAGTCATTAAGTAAATTTATTGGAGAAATGGCATTGACCGGTAAAAAATATTGCTTATTTAAGGATTAAATTGTAGTTGATGGTGTCAAATTTTGTTGTGCAATCAAAAATTATGTTGTTCACTTGACCTATTTTTTAATTAATTCTTTGGTTTAGGGGGGAATTTTTTATTTTAATAAGGGTGATTTATAATGATCATACATCCTGAATGATTTAATGCAATGGTCATACACAAATCGGTTACATGACTTTATATCATTATCAAGTCAGTGGATGAGCTAGAACCTTCGAAACCCCTCAAAAAACTTACTGGATAAGCTCCGAACTCTCTTAACTTAGAGTTGACTGAGAGTTTCTATGAATAATATGACCAAACTATAGTTTAAACCTAAGAAACCAACCTTACTGTTTATGCCACTGTATGAAGTAACAGCAAAGCTTCTCAATATTAAAAAATGAAAATTTCAACTTAGCTAGTCAATGCCAAAGTTGAAGAATGACTTAAGCTACATACAAATTGTAATTTTCCCAACGCAACGCTTCTCAATGCTTGCACCCCAATACCTCTATACACTAAAGTAGCTCCCAAATAGGGATATTCCGACGAATTTCACCAGCAGATACCTCAACATTAGGAAATATGCTAAGCATTACACAAAACGCCAGCGTTGATGATAAATTATGAATTGTGTGCCTCAAAATTTCCATTCGACGTATGCAAAATAATCAATATTATTACCCATATTTTTTCTTTTATTCTATTCGAACCTTCCATGTATATACAATCGCTAGCAGTGGCGATATTTCTATATATACATACATGTACATTGAGAGAGCTTCAAATAAGCAGCAACAACAATAGCGACAATGAAAATGAAAAAAAAAAGCTAAACGCGGTGGAAAATAAATAATGAATATAGCAATAGACATTTCCATACATTAAAGAGCAACTACAAATAAGCATAGTAAGAAAGTGATACAAAGAAGAAAAAAAAATTATAGTGGCAGAGCACACAAAGTCGTTTGATGACGATGATGATCATAATGATAGTAAAAAAAATAGGGAAAAATTATGATAAATACAAAGAATTTTCCCTTCAAAAAAGAATTTACAGACAGTCATGTTATTTGTGTCACTGTGTTTGTATGTGAACGCGCTCAACAGAGAGAATGATATGAGACTGTGTAAGCAGGCATCATCAAGTGGATGAATTATAATGAGCTTTATGACTTTCTTTGGCATTTTTTTTTTCAAGTGAAATTGAAAACTTTTTTTTTCTCTCTAATGCCGACAGTAACAACCGTCAAGTGAGGTTTAAGTAAAGGGACACTTTCTGCTCTGGAGGGAAAATAAGGGGATAACAATAAGATGGGGAAATGTTTTATTTAGAAAAAAATTTTAAATCATTTTAAAAGTTTCTAATAAAATTTTGATAAAAATGTTTTTGATAATTTTCCTCATCATGTTGTTATCCCCCTAAGTAAGGAGGCATGTACATGTAGAGAAAGAAAGAAATGCGGTTTCAAATGTGTTCATTATATGAATGTTATATTGAATTACATTCAGGTTCTTTATATATTCTATGAACGCATTAAATTTATATCGTATTACTTGTTATTCGATAATCAATAATGGGAAATGGAAATGAATGTTTATAACTTTTTGTTTCAATTTTTTCTCGGCTTCTTTATGTCAGAAAAGTTATGAATATTGATGTAATTTTATCTATTAAAGGATGTCAATTAAAATATAATTTTATAACTTAAGTTATATTGAAATTGAGGGAAGCTCAAATTTTGTGTTGAGACTTAACTTTAATTTTGGGTTAAATTTTATTTTAAAACTTACTCGAACAGTATAAATCGATTAATCGAATAGAAATTCGTTCATAAAGCTGCCATGATGCTGGGTTCAATTTGAATCCTGCAGCATTGCAAAGTCATACCAGCTTTGTGCCGGATATCTGATCGATTAACCGACTTGTGCCATTCAAGATGGTAAATTGAAGAAAACTTCTCAACTATGGAGGGGAGGGGGTGTAAATTGCAAAAAAAAAATGTCCCATCTCACTGGTCACATGCCTCCATAACTGTCTGAAACAGATGAAACGTTATTCAAGTCAAGGAACACCCCAACCCCTCCTTCCCTTTGCTTAATAATCTTTAAGACAGAAAATACACAGACATAGCAACAACTGAGAAGTTCACAGCACAGCGAGAACTCAAGAAGCCTTAATAATGAAGTATAAAAAAAATAAGAAGCATCAATAATACTTAGATGTACATTGTCGTAGAACTTGGTTTTTAAAGAATATTCTTTGTATTGACCACGTCGGAAGGTTTATGAGTAATTTCCTAATAATTAATTCAGATAATCACGAGTTATAGAGTTTTGAATATTTGCTTATTTGACTTTTTAAAATAGTCTTTAAAAATTTTGTATTAAGATTTAATGTAAATCAATATTTATTTCAATTTTTAACATAAAAATGGAAATTTGAAAATTTAAAATGAGAATTTGCGTGAATTTCAATTGAACTCATTCGTATCTTGTGTCAGGGGAAAGCATTTTTATTAAATTTCTTGATGGTGAAATAAATTCAAGCATAAAATCAACAAGTAGTTATTTGTCAAGAGTATGTGAGCATTGGAACATTTTTCGAACGATTTTGCTTATCTTTGAAGCTTGCAAACTTAGTTTGAATATTTTTTTGTAAATAATTCTTTTCAAATAGAATCCAAAAACTAAGTTTCACTAAGTTTGTTTAACATTTTTACTGTTGGTTCACTCAAGTTCATTTGTAGCTGGTAAATCACCGAAACCTTTAAATTAACATCACAAATATCATCAAATCAATTTGTACTACAGAAAAAACATTTGAATTACCTCCAAACTATCAATTTTGGTAACAATTTAATTTCCATTAAAGACAACCAAAAAATCTAAACTACCGGCGAGTACTAAGTGCTCATCACATACATTAAAATTGTCACAAAAATAAATTTGATTTTTTTCGATCAAAAAAATTATCTACGGGCAATTTGCTGTACTGATTGCTAACTCTGACAATATTTTTTTGCGACTTAATAAATGGAATTAATTACTTGACAAGCTTTTTTATTTCGCTGTTTAAAATTAGTTTCGATTGTGAAATGTCAAAAGTTTTACATAAAGTTTAGTATTGGAATATTTATTGGAATTTAGACCAAAGTACTTTTGAAACTAGAGTAGTGTGGAATCTGGAGTATCGAGTCATTTGATAGATGAATCTGCAAGTGCTAGATTAAGACCTTAGTGGCTGATCGTTTGAGCAATAGATTAAGAATCTGATAAGTCTCTTTTGAGCTAATGTTGGTTTGATTCTTACAACAGGATAACATCTCAATCATTTGTAAAGACTTTGGCCTTAGAATGTTTAAAATGTGACTAATGATAAGGACTTAAACCTGAATATGTAACAGGAACCAATTCCTTAAATATAAGGACTCAATTTAAATCTACTGATCTTTTAAACACTGATTTCATTAGATTCAAAGGTTATAAAGGGAAAAACCCAAAACATAAACAGTAAAATCAGCTTTAGATAACGAACGTTGATAAAAGGAAGTCATACGAGGAGAATAAAATTTATTTTTTACTCTTATTATCTTTAATGACGATTAGTTACTAATAATTTTGTAATGTTGTTTAAATTTAGATTTGATAAGATCATTAAAACTTGTTGGAAGGATTATGTAAAGTTCGTCAACTAGGTTCACTGTCGAATCAATAAAACAACAAATTCATTTAAATTTAATGATTTTGTCTTCACTTTTTAAGATTATTATAATTTGCATAGTTAATTAATTAAAATTAAATAATCAAGAATCAAGGACATAGCTTAACAAAAAGAATTAAAGTGACAAGTGACAATTTGGTTTGTGATAAAGTCTTAAACTCAAATATTATCCGATCGGCACAAATTGTTATGTTTACCGACAGCCTGGTTGTTTAATTAGAACCAAGCTGCAGCCTTCAATGAATTTCAATAAATGTGTACCGATCGGGTTAATTTAATGGATGAATAAAAACATTTGAAACTCATAATTTTTTTAT